ACTTTTTTTCATATGTGGTGGACTTGCAAGGTTATTAAGGCCTTTTGGATAAAATTGTGGTGGAATTTACAGCAAATTTTTAAAAGAAGAATTACTTTCTCGCCTCAGTTGTTTCTCCTAGGTATTACACAAAATTTGGATGTAAAAGAAACGAATTTGATGTTATATTGCTTAACTGCTGCCCGTTTGTTGATAGCTCTAAACTGGAAGAGTAAAAGTTTACCTACAATGGAAGACTGGAGATTGAAAGTTTCGTACCTTGCTGAGATGGCAAAGATTTCGGCTTATTTGAAGAATTATTCAAATGAACAATTTTTGTTAATATGGAGAAGATGGATTGTTTATATTCAAAAGAAGCATAGAGTGGTGGAATATAATTTAGGTTTTTAGAAAAAAAAAAATTTCTTTTATATATCTTACCTACTCATGTAGAACAATATACTTTGTGGAGTTAGAGATGTTAATACTTGTTTACTTATATCTGAATATTATCCTGGGATTAGGTTTGGGAAGTCCGGGGGGGTGGGGGGTTTTTCATATAGCATTGTGTAGTATTTGTGGAAAAAAAAAATTTATGTTGAAAAATAATAAAATTTTATATTGAAAAAAAAAAAAGTCTGCACATCTTAAGAGTTACCAAGATGAAGAAGCGTTGCTCTTTCAGAACTAAAATAAAAGAATAACAAAAACGTGCTTCCTCCAACTCACCTGGGAAGTGAGGACGCAATGAGGATTCAGCGTTACGCCTTCCTTCACCTCTGCCTCGTCACAAACGATGGACTGATAGATTTTTACACCGTCTCCTATATGGACGTCATTCCACAGGAAAGCCCAGTCCAGAAGGACGCCGTTACCTGATCAATATTCAAAAACACAAACCATCACCTTATGCCATACTCATCCAGGTGTCTGCTTACAATACATAAGCTAGTTGTGTCTATTCACTGTCCCACGGTGTAATGTGGTTTGTTTTTCCTTTGCACTTTACGTGAAATCCTACAGCTCAGAAGCCATGATGTAGGTGGTTCTCAACTTACAATCGTTGGTTTCGTGACCGTTCCAAGTTACAACTGCACTGGCTTATGACCGGTTTTCACAC